TGAGGTATACTATTGAAGTAGTACAGATAGAAATCACCTTACGATATACATGATCAATTGATAGGCTCCAAGTTGGCGAAATCACTGCATCTGTTATGCAGATATATACGGTATTTAAGGGTACCCTTAATGATAAGGGTGACACTTTCAAATGCGAGATTAATTTGGGCATTAGGACCTATTAAAGAGAATCCATACACAGAAGAATTGTTATAATGTCCAAGTTACTTACACTTTCGCCTTCAGACTTGGAGCCTTGTTCCTGTAAAGACTTCTGGAGGTCTTCAATCTGTTGCTGCAATTCTCGGATACGCTCTTTGCTCAGCCTATTTGTAAGATAAGTCATATGTACTTATTTATATTGACAGTCAAAATAGTTAATGATCTATAAAGGTGCATTCATGCAATTTAACTAAAAAAAAATACATTTGGTACCAATATCAAATGCAGAATTATCTGTGACTAGGTAAAATACATAGTAAGTAAGTTACTTCTAAGGAAATACTTAAAAAAAGACGACTTTCTTCCTGAAAGCATGTATGTCTAGACACATTTCAAAATTTAAGGTACTTATATGCCAGTGGCAAAAACATTTCTGCACTATCCTCAGTGATAGAAAAATTAGAAAACCAGCTCAATTGTCCTACATTTGTATTTTTAATGAATGGAAACTAAGTTTCCTCTTTCTGTTTCAGATTTCACAGTGTATTGGGAGAAGAGGAAGGTCACCATTTTTTCAGGGATTGGCACTAGCAACTAGTTCAGATTTTAATTTGGCAAAATCCTATTCTTTAAAACTCTGTTTAAGAGCTACCTCCACTGGAAGTTACCAGTAAGAGTAGCGTGCACTCTCTCTCTCTCTATATATATATATGCATGTATGTATATCTTCACCCACATATGTGACATACATCCACCTGCCTGTTATAATAGTACATTGTAACAGTTGTCATATAACATAGTAATTATCTATTCACATGTCTATTGTCCTATATTAATCCTCTAAAAGCTGAAACTTAGTATCTCCAGTGCTAATAACTAGTATTGAACTGTACAGGATAGTAATATTTAATGGTCTCTTAGGAAGCTAAAATGTCATTCTTTTTAAATCACAGTTAATGTAACAATATACAGACAAATTGGAGACAAAGTTCAAGTATGTCTAAAATTTCTGATCGTCTCTAAGATTCAATAAAGGCTGGATAAATAAATCTAAATACCTTTATTAAGTACACCATTTATAAGAGGCAGGTTAACATAGAAGCTAAGAGTAGATACACAGCAATCGATTGACGCAGAGTTCAAATGTAGGATCCAGAATATACTAACTGTATAATGTTGAGTAAGTTAGTTAACCTCTTTGTATCTCAGCTTCCTTATCCATAGAAAGAGATAATCATAGTCACTACTTCATAGAGTTATTGTGAGGACTTACTGAGTTAATACCAAAAAAATACTTAGGAAAGTACCTGGTACCTAGCAAGCACTACACAATGTTACATATTTTTATTATTATAACAAGTTTTGAGCACATGATCAGTACCAGGTAAGCACACCATTTGCTTTAAGCACATTATCTGTAATCTTCCCAACAACTTGAATTCGTGGCTGAAGACACTGAGTGTGAGTTTAAGTAACGTGCCCAGAAACACTGTTGGTAATTTTGTTGAAAAATTACAATAAGCTGAATTAGAAGTGGGATTCAAATTTGACTCCACAATCCGTGTCCTACCTATGCACCAGACTGTAGTAGAAAGCCAAACTGTCATTTATTCATTTCTTAAACTTTCTGTTAGTTGTGCAGATATCTAAATACAATTCAAGAATAAGCAACCTTAACCAAGTCTGCTAAAATTAATGGATCATCCATGTATTTTATAATACTATGATTGAAATGAATCACTTGACTTCTTTCATAGAGTGAAACGTACAGTGGTGAGAGACTACCAATAAAAAACATTCAAACTACTTCTAGGTAATTCTAATTACTTTAACTACAATA